GGGCACTGGAACTGGGAGGGTGGGCATCAGTGAGATATTTTCAGGAAATACTGTAAAGAATGTTAATTTTTAAAGCACGTTTGCATTTTGAGTTAGAAATAATATCGATAATTGGGTTTGCCTGTGTCCTTTATGGCCCACATATCCTGGCCCGACAAAGCGACGTTTACGTCAGATCCGGCCCTCGTAACAAATGAGTCTGATACCCCTGACTACAGCATCGGTATCCACATTAACCTTCATTCACACCCTCTTGCAGATTAAGTATGTGAAAGGCTGTCTCTTGGGAGGAGGGCAGGGAGCTGTTCTTGTTGGCAGCAGAGGACAGGACTTGCAAGAAGGGGTTTAAATTATGGGGCAGGGGGAGATTGCACCAACTTGCAGCTGTGCTCTGCACTGCAATGTCCTCTGTTCTCTACAGGAGTTTCTGGTATCCCTAAAATATTAATATATAGTTTCATAGAAAGGAGCAGTGCTCCCTCTAAGCGAGTGATGGCGAACCTTTTAGAGACCGAGTGCCCAAACTGCGACCCCAAACCCACTTATTTATCGCAAAGTGCCAACACGGCAATTTAACCTGAATACTGAGGTTTTACTTTAGAAAAAACAACTCATACATTAACTTAAGATGATCCAAACAAAGTAAGGAAAGCAATCCCAAATGCTTTCATTGACTTAAAATTATTTGGCAGAGAATTCGACACTTTAATGATGGTCTGGGCCTGGCTGGGGCGATGGCACGCGTGCCCGCAGAGAGGTCTCTGAGTGCCACCTCTGGCACCCGTGCCATAGGTTCGCCACCCTTGCTCTAGGCGGATCCTGCATTCAGTAGAAGGGCTGGACTAGACGGCTCCCCCTTGGCCCCTTCCAGCTCTGATTCTCGGCCTTTTCACTCATTTTCACACGGTGGCCTTTAAACCTCAAACAAGCAGGAGTACCAGGAAGACTACCATGAAAAGGGGCAGCTCAGGTCACAGAGAAAAAAATCCGTTCAACTTTATAGTTTAATCTACAGTCATTTTATATATTAGCATACTGCTTCGAGGCAGTTTACATAACCCGAGACTCCCCCTCCCCTCCGTACAGGCCGCTTGTAGTGGTACACTAAAAATTGATGAAGCAGCACCGACGTAGGACAACCGTGGACAGAAGAAAACACGGTCGGGGTTGAGTGTGAAGATCCTAACCTTAAAATGGCAAGCCTCTTGCAGGGAGGGGCACCTGACTTCTCCCAAACCCTGATAAAAAATGCTCCACTACCCGAAGCCCCGTCAAGAGGGTGGAGCGGGGCCCTTCCTTTCCCTGTGACAAACTCAGACAAGAAAAGTGCACTGAGAGGTGCAGCTCCTAGTCCGTAAATCCACCTAGGCTCCCCACAGCCACGGCCACTCTATATAAGAGCGCATTAGATGCCCACGGAGATGACAAGGGCATTATGACACTGATCCAAGATCCTCCTTCTCTAGGAAAGATGCACCCAGCAATCATCCCTTAAAAGTCCTTGTAGCAGCACCAGGCCCAAGGACTGCTCCCCCCCCCAATGCACGGCTGATCTGGCAAGGCGTCCGGGGGACGACGATGACGACATGCACAGTTACAGGCGAAGATGCTGGGACTCCCCAACAGCACCACCTCCGTGTCTCAGCCTGCTGGTTCTTATTCCCCAGCCCAACAGCCCCCAGGCAAAAGGCAGAGCAGCTGCTTCTGCTTAGCTGAACACGGCAAGAGAGGGCTAAATTACCACCCTGCCAGGCAAAGCTCTAGACCGCTGCAACGGGGGCCTTCCTAGGGATGCTCATGTCTATCAGAGCACCAACCCCCATGGAATCTGATAGCTGTCCACCAGATCGGAAAGAAGGGAATAAAACCACGCTAGAAGAACCCTAAGAGTGTCGAGTGCCTGTTGCGACCGGCGTAGGAAGTCAGAGTCAAAACCAGCAAGTGCTTTTGACACACTGAGCAGAGTCAGAGGGACTTCCAGGGCAACCTTCCCTGCTGGATTCTAGATTCATACCGTCCATCAGGGAAGGAAACCCCTGACACCGAACCAGACGCACGAAAAACCGACAGTCCTTCCAAACTTGCAGCCTTTAAAAAGCTGTAACCTGATAATAAAGCCAGGCTTTAGAAGAACTAGCTAAGTCTGCAACTAAGAACTCAATGCTCAGTTGCAACTGGAACGATACCAAGAACTGGGTCTAAAGGAACATCTTAGGACACCATCTTGGATTTTAGGTTTTCAATGACATGAAATTGATCTGAATCATTCTACGTTTTTCTCTATTGCTTTATCATTGATGGGTGCCACCCGGAGCCCTGGTTTTGCAGGGACGGGGCGATTCATAAATCGAATAAATAACAACCCTCCAGTTTAATGCTGTAAATGCATTTAGTCTACAAGGAACACGGTATCTGCAGGCGGAAATGGTTGGATCGTGGTTGAAGCAGCAAAAGCGGCTTGCTCTGGAGGGCCCAGTGTGGGCAATGTAACCTTTCGGCCTCAGTCATGAGGGTCCAGTTGGACCCAGGCGAGGCGGCAGGCAATCGGGCTCCACTACTCTCGGTCACGACCCCCCCCCCACCTCACCCCTTTCGGGCTGCCAGATGGCTTATCCCAACCACCACCTGGCCACTGCCTGCCTTTGAGCAAGGAAAGGAAAGGCGACGTGGGCAAACTGTTTGGAGGGGTGCTTGCAAGCGCTTCCTCCTCCGGAGAGGCCCTCGTCCCCCACAGGGGCCGGCAGAGGCATCCTGCGGTCGGTGCTGCCACTGGCCCTCACGCTGCTGACCGCAGAAGCCCTCCGGGATCCTCCTCTCTTGCTCTCTCGGCCCGGGAGGGAAGACTACGTGGCAGGAGCCAGAACTGGCAGTGGATCCTCCTCGCCACGCAGAACTGGATCCCTTCGTTCAGCACGACCACCCCCCCCCCCCAAACTCCAGCTTCTGCTAGAGACAACTGGCCTTCCAGAGAGGTTATTGCTATCTTAATTATTAGGGTCATAAAAGAAACAAGTTCTTCTAGTAAAAAGGAGCACCGCCCCCCTCCCACAAGGACTCGGAAGAGGCGGC